TTCCTGCTGTTCTGCAGCCAGTCAGATGTATGGGTTTTATGTCCCACAGTGTTTACTGCAAGTTAAAACACCACAGACATTATGTAAATGCATATTTGTTTGAGGATTCATCCTGATGGTATTCAAGCAGTTATGCTGAGGGTACTTTGTGGATTTCTGGAGCAGAAATAACAACACCTTATAATGCTTTCTGTGACCAGTTGAGGTGCAGGATGTGGCCTCCCTATTTTTAGCATCTGCTGCTACACCCATCTGTAGAAAGAAAACATCCTGTGAGTGTTAATATAGGTGATGCAAACTTTTAAGCCTGGAAAACTACTTAATTCTACAAAGTTTTATCATTCTCATTGAAAAAGCAAAGAGAATTTCATGTCAGGGACCTATTTTTCAGAGAGCTACAAAAATACATGCCTTTGAATATCCCAACTCTTGGTGAGTATTTGCAGTTTAAAAAATTTTGCAAAGTGCCCTGAACATTGAGTGACATAGTGTGGAAGCCAGTCAGAAATAGAAAGTAGGAAATAATATCTTTTTCTTTGAAACTCAAGAGTTTTTATAGAGAGAGATTCAAACTGGTACTGGAGATGTGACAGGCTCCCTTCCTCAGCTGTTGATAGGACATAGTCCCCTTTTATCTGTCATTGAAGGGTCCTTCCAGTAACTAACTTAGGGCAGGTATAACTTTGTACTTACATCAGCCCTGCACTGTAAGGCTGCTGAGGTTTCCAAAATTCATCTTTGTCTGGTAGTTCTGCATTGCATCCTTCTACCAGCAGGCAAGAACAAAGCTTTAGCAAAGCCTAACATTTTTTTCTGATATCATTAGCCAATGTAAACTAAACCATTGACAGGCATCTATGATAAAGGTAAATAAATATTTGTGGAAGTTTTCATGTACTTGGTGGGGGTTTTAAAGATTTCTTTAAGGGAGCACCAGAGGGACTATGGAACAAGATTTTGGCCCAGGAAAAAAAAGCGCAGCTGAAGCCCAGGCACTGTTCCGTGCGTGGAGTAAAATGTAACCCATGTAATAACTTTACTGGAGATATTGTTGCATTCCTATTGGGATACATATTGGAGTAATATTGGACTGTCGAAACCAGTATTTCCTATTGAGTATTTTTCCTGTGTCACACACACATACTAAACAATGTGGGTGGACAAAGAAAAAGTGTTTGGGTCCCAGCTCAGAGCCGGGGCCGATGGCAGCTGACCCGCCGGGCGCCAGGGACCTCTTGCAGCTGGTGAAAAGTCTGCTGTGTCGGCTGCAGGAGAATTTTCAGGCTCTGATGGAGAAGTTAACGCTGAGAAATATCCTCTTTGGAACGCGGGGTACCTGTCCTGCGGGAGAGGCTTCGGCTCCTGCGGCTGCGGTGGCTGATCGGGGTGCGGGGAGAGCTTTGCTTTTCACATCGCGATGGGCTTCGTTCCTAAACATCAAATTAATTGATGATTGACGTTGCTAAACACCTGTGATGTAAATACAGCTGAATTGCCCCC